CGTATAGAAAATGTTTGATTGTTACTTTAAGATTTTGCTATTTTTCTACCTGCTGATAGTCAAATACCGGCGGAAAGCTCTCTTGTTTATTATTCTTCATTGTTGTAATTTTTTGCCTACGTCACAAAATTTTAAATGGCTTTTTAACTTGAAAGTAGATATAGGTTTTTTAAAAGACAACAATTTTGCTGTTCACAAAATGAAAAAAAATCTGACAATTTAAGATAAAGAGATTCAGTTTAACTTTGAAGCTTAAAATAGCGACCAGAAAAAAATTGGTCTAAGAATCGTCTTTGGAAAATCAGATAGGATTTGTTGAACAAAACAAAATTTTATCAGAAAATAGCAAACGCGGAATGTTTGCTATTAATTATAATAAATCTGACATATATCAATGTATTGAGCTATTTTTCGTGCTTTTTACCTCGTAAGTCTGCTGTTTTTTTTTTTTCTGCTTCTATTCGTGTTTTTAACGATTCGAATCTGTTTTTTTTTGGATTGAAATATAGCTTTTATTTTATACAATATTGTAATTATCCTATCTTGTAACTATTAGCTTGACTATTATTTATGTAGCAACGTGACATTTGATAAAAAGAGTAGGTTTCAGTACGACCATTGAGCTACTATTATAATCGAAATAGTCCTGTTTCTATCTGTCACTACCTCATTCAGCCTAAACCTATTAAAAATTACCGGTTCGTTACCATGGTTACTGATTTTATACCTCAGTTCTAGCTAATTAGAAAGAAGACATTCAGCAAACATGTATCACTCAAGAGATTGTTTGTCTTTACGTCGTGCAAATGCTTATGTTTAGCCAGAATAGTAGCGGTTGTAGAGACTGCGTCTATACTTCTGCATTACAGGTTCGTAAGCGTTTCGCGACCCTGTATGACGCGCGCGAGTAAGTTTCGGCTGAGGGTCCTACCTTTTCACCGCGCACGAACCGTCCGGCAACCGATTTCTACTGCGAGTCCATCAGCTCAATGCAACAATGATTAAGTCCTAATGCAAGCTAACACTAGACATTGCTTAGAGATCTGACGTTACATCACGTACGATCAAAGATACCACTTTACAGTTGCTAATAGAGAGCTGCTGCCCTTTTCTTTTGCCCATAAATAGAATTTCTAGAAACGAATTCCTTCTCTATATTTGGCCACTGTAGCATACAAATCAAACGACGAAAAACTTATTACACCTGCAATTAGTCAACGCTGTCAATCAATCAATCAATCGCCGCAGGCATAAAGCTTTAGAAAAAGAAAATACGATGAAGTCTACATCCGGTGTGCGATTTAGCAAAGATTAGTACAACCTGTTAGAAGGTTTAACGCGGCTAAAGATTCTTATCAGGAATGTTTCTTAGGCTTGTACCCCTGACCCTGATAGCTGTAGCTTATCCTTACCCAATCGATTGGACTGCATACCTATTAGGTACGTTTTGTGGGCACGGCATGCACAGCAATGGGCTGTGACAAACAGAAACGGTTCCCAGTCTGTGTGAGTTTACTATGCATACATACAAGCTGATTGGTAACAACCTATTGTCTATGTCTGTCTGGGTAGTCGGCATAGCGCGGGTGGGACTTGTTGACGAAAACGTTCCCCCTTCACTAATTATCGTTAACATAAATCTCTGCTGATAAATCGCTTGTTCATGTCTCAGATCCCATTGCTTAAAGAGATGGGAATGTTTCTATGAACGTATCGTACTCTAATGCACGATAGAAGCATGTATTGGAATTGTTTGTGTAGCATTATCTCGTATCATTATTACAACTACTAGATGAATTATATTTTAACATTTTTCTTTCAAATTTTTTGATGTGGACGGAATGAATAGTGAATCTGTTAGCCATTTACAAAAGAAGTAACGCCAGGCGCTCGTTGCGGCGCGCCGAGCTTCCAGTAACACGGCATCTTTTCTAAAAAATAATTTTCGGTTGTTATACAATGCTAGACAATTTTCCGTTTGCGCGTTTAAAAAGTTCCGCCAGACAAAGACAAGAAAAAGAACGACTAGAATAAGTAAAACATTTTTATAATGAAAACTAACTGCATTCACGTGTTTATCTGTCCATAAATGATCATCACACTGGCAAGTTTAATGTACAAGTTATTAAACGGCCGTCTGTTTCTCTGTGTGTAGTAACTGCGCAATAATTAATTACTCTTTATAATTGTTTTGCTAGATACAATAAACGCTGTAGATTTATTACAGCATCTGTGAGAACATTTTCTAGAATTCATTTAGCTCTACTTGTAAACGGACTTCTGTTACAAACAAGAAGCTCATTTATGTATCACATTAGACTTACGTTCTAAGTTTACTTGGTGTTATTTATTTTTCCTATATTTCCTGTAAAAGGAAGGGAACTCGAAGGAAAAGTCGTGCTCCTTCAGTATATCATAATGGGATAATATATCTTTTGTTTTTAAACTCAATACTACAACTACGTTGATTGCTCCCATTCAGGAACGCGAGCTGAAAGAGTTTTCAAGAGCGTTATACGTAATCGTATAAAGGTGGCGAAATACGGAAAGTCCGCTAGTGAACAGGGTAAGTGAATGGAGCAAGAGAGGTAAAAATCAACTCATTAATAAACGAGAGAACTTGACAATGTTTATACTCACAACCCAAGCCTAAATTCGTTTCGACCAAAAGGCACATTCTGACGAGTGGATTTCGCTGTGATTCTGTAACTAGCTCCATTGGCAGCAGCTAAACACCTTTTACATTTTAGAAACACCTTAGAAATTTAGAACTTTAGATGCATGTACTACGCAACCAGCAACCACCGCAAAAGGAGATCAAAACATGTGGTTTTGCAGTAATTGGGAGTTAAAACGATTGATAACGTTCTGAATTCTGCCAAGGAGTAAATTGCCAGATTGGGTAGACGGTAAATTTATCCTACACGTAGACGTCCTTTATTACATTACCAACTGATACGAAGTTCGACAGTGACAACTAGTCGTCATGTACCAAAGAGACATAGCAATATTTTATTAGACCTAATACGAACAAATGAGCTATTCTTGGAAAAATAAGATTAAAAAAACTCAATGATTTAAACGGGACTTGCTCTCCCAGCCGTTGATACAGCATACATGTCCCAGTCGCTGGCTCCTATCATGAAATTTTACATTTCACATCTCCTGCTTTTTACTCTTTTCGTTTCTGCACACCGTTAAAATGACAAACCACCTTAAATTAAAAGGTAACACAAATCTATAAATATTTCAGATTCAGCCCTTTTGCCGCACCCTTCAATAAAAAAGCGACCAAAATCGAACAAAGAACATGGGGAATTAACCCATAAATTCCACTTAAACAATCATCAACATGCTGAATGAATGCGAAGCAAATGCAGGCACGCGTAATCATACGCGTTAACCTAATATTCAGTCGAAACGGTCCACCGCAGCCCTACCTTGTAAAGATTAACAATTGTAAGGTTTTTATCCTCTCGAGCCCGTTGTCATGGGAACCGAAATTCAGTTATTCTATTGGCCTCTCCGAAAGATATCTTGGCACCGCGCTGTTTTAGCAGTGTGTCTGAATCAACACCAAAAACTAGCTCCTTTCGTCACTCGTTCCGGTTCGTATTTCAGCACGAATTAAGAGCCACAAATACATTTCTAATGTAAGTAAAAAGAATGCGTTTCTAATTCATAACTATTAATACTTGTGGTATCATTAAATACCTAAATAGCTAGAAAATCCGCCTCAATATCGCCGGAGGCAGTGGCAAGTCTCTGTAATCCCGCTTCTGGGAGGCTGGTGCAAGGGACATCTACGGGTTGGGGCACCCGCTCGTTGACTGTCGATGTCGATCGAGTGTCCGCACTAAGCTAGGCGTTTACATGGGCGCTTCACAGGGAACTGGGAGGGTCCAGGTTGGATAATGAGGGGCGCACCGGCTCAGGGCGGAAACGCAGCAAGCAAAAGTCCCCGCGCTTTGCAGTAGTGGGATCGCACCCGTGAATAGGCGTCCTCGTCGGGCCTAACCTACTGGTTGGACCTAGCACCCTACACCTTTTGAAGCCGCCAGCGACAGATGAGAGCAATCGATATCAAGTGTTGCATTGCTTGTTTTGTTTGAAACATACGTTGATAATAGCGATAAAGAATGTGAAACAAAAAAGGGGCTTCAAATAGGAGCCGAGACTAACGTGTGAAAAATGAAATCATTTCGATAGAAAGAGAAGCATTTTTCAACTTAGAGAGGTTTCTATTAGTGATTAGGATTTTTTAAATCAGTGACAAGAGAGTGCACTGTGTCACAGCTGACTTGCTTAAAAGCGAAATTTTTTGTCATATTAAACGACTATATTTTTTTATTCCAAACCCTTCTCTTTATGAAAAAGTTACCTAACTGGATAAGAACTGGCTTCAAATAACGTCGAGCTCATCTGATGAGTAAGGCTTTCAACGCTGTCTGGCTGGCGTCTCTACAGAACGTGTTTGCTCAATGCTATGACCACTAGAACCACCGCAGTACCGAATCCCCTATAAAGTTCCACATTCCATACACTCTTATTGAACCAGTTACTCGATAAAAGACAATTACCACTAGGGAATACATTTGCAAAAGACTGACCTTGAGTATTTCCGAACAAATAGTCATATCTATATTGTCACAATACGTTTCTTTAGAATTTAGTTAGTGAGACGGTATGTACCGTCAAACAGAAGGACGAATCACTGTAACTGGTAACTGACAAACCCGCTGCAAGAGACGAAAGCCAAATGCACAATTAAAATTTTGCCAGAGTTAATTATCTCTAATAACTTATATTCTAATAGTAGCTCAATTCAAGATAGTACATTTATCAACAAGTAACTTTAACGTACGCTTTAATATGATTATCGGAAAATACTATAATCTAGCTAACCATTAGATTGGTTTCGATTCTATTTATTCCAGCGACCCTTTCACAAAAGCAAAATCACAACCAATACATGTTTGTATAAAGAATATTTATTGCCATTTGATTGAGTAAAAATCTTGCCCTGCCTACTATCGGAGAAAAATCAGACATTTGTTTATCATCTTCCTGAGCTGGAAACAGTGGCTGGTGGTCGATCTGTCGTCCTTTAGGCGTTTTCATGATTCCGATTAAGCTCTTTGAAGCCTTCATTGCAGACAACAACGTTTCGCCCAAAGCTAAACAGCCTTACTCTCCCTTTATATTTGTGTATCGAGAAGGCTTTTTTCGTACACTCACTAACGGCTGGCACATACGAGGCCACGCGCACCAAATCAACATTGACGCAGTCCGTATATTTTTTGTCATCTGCATCATCATCATCGTTAGGAGTGATCATATTCATTATAGATGTTATTATTTTTTATATTTTATCATCATACTACATATCACTAACGCTACTTATAAGCTTAGAATATACTGTAATTAATAAAGTGACTGAATATAATCAATGGTTCCCCTCCTTCTTGTTTCGTCTGCGTCGCTCGTTAGCATTAGGCTCGTCTAAAACTTCATCCGTCAATATTGATATCATTACGGTCGCGTCAGCCGTAGGTCCGGCCGCAAACTTCGATCACAATTTAATCACTATAAAAGTATTCTTAATGATAATAACAATAAACAAACTATATAAACTCAACGTCGTCCGAAATAGGTACTCAGCGACTCTTTGGTCTCCTGGCCATTTCTGCGCACGTACGATTCAGCATTTATGACGGGCTAGTACAATTATGATACTAATGGGACAGGTCGTCTGTTCTGGCTGCCAGCTAAGCGTCTACCTTCACGATCGCCGTCGCCGTCGTCGTCGGTCTATCGTACCGCCATCATTCATATGATTATTATTAGCGCGCTGCAGTCGTACTGTGGATACAAATAGGCGATTTTTTCTACGCTAGATAGAAGCTAAAGTGTACAGATTACTGATACTGTTGTAGGCAACCCTTCGATGATAGTACTATCAGGAATTAGAGCCATCATATTTTTAACGGCTATCTTCTTCTTTTAATAATAATAAAAACTTTTTTGTTGTGCCATTGCTTCGCCTACGGAGATTGCTCACTCTACGATCAATATCTACTATCACATTGTACGCCTGGAAAAAATTAAGACCGACCTTTCCTGTCTTGACCGAGCACGTGTGTTGGCTGTTCATTATCGACTGTATATCGCTCGCAACCCACGTGGGTCCTTCAGCTTCGTCTCGTGATTTGAAACTTCGTTGTTTGTTTTTCCCCACCAGGCATCCTGGCGCTCACTTTTTTGTGGAAACGTCGTTTTGCGAACACTTTTCAAACCACTCTTGAAGCCATTAGACGGCGCTTTACGAAGCATATTAAGGCGGTTACCTATTCTGGAGGGTAGGAACCTTGAGAAGTTTCCTTGTACGGGCCCTAATTTATTATCGAGCAAGCAGAATGTCACTCGCGCTAATTGCGCAAACGATTTTTTGCATGCCAGAAGTATTATAGTGATTGTCGCGAGTAACTTTGTGAAATATATTTCGGCCATTAAGAGTAGGAACTTGTCACGCGTTGGATCTAAATGCAAATTTCAAACGTGTTTACGAATTGCCCTTCATAGCTACAACTATGCCAATCAGGTAAACAACGCTTCTCTAGTACGCAAAAACAGTCCTTTACCAATTTACCTAAAATAAAACATCAACCGGACGTTCGGGTCCAGAGCGCTGCCGCTCAAGACTCGACAAGGTTAGCGTCGTCGTCGTCATGCATCACTCGTATCATTTAAATACACTTCGCAGATTTATTTGCCTGTATTTAGATTACTAGCTAGTCAAATCGTCTATCTGCATAGTAAATATCCTAATAACCCAAAAATCACAATCGGACGAGGAACATCACGTATCGCGCAGAACTAGATAGTTATCATTCCATTCGTTTTTCTAATTGTTCATATTCCATTTCTAGAGGCGTATTTTCACCTTCAGACAAACGTAAACGGCACACCGTGCACAGAAATCAACTTTAATCGTAGAACGTAGATGTCCATTAGACAGGCAAAACACTTGTTCAGATTTTTCTACTCGTCCTACTCGTAACGACCTCGTCATTCAATATTCCTACTTGCGAAAATCATTGGCTCGCTGAAGACAAGCTATAGAAAATCGGAAAATGATGACGTTTGGCTGCTCTGTGATTTTCGTCGTTGTCTTTTATACAGCTCGTTCAAAACAGCAATACGAAAGGCTTGCACTTGCTGAAACCGACGATCGTCGCTGTTCTCTTCTTCATATAACTCGTGATGTATACGAAAGGGTTTTTGCGTGTGTGTGTAAATGTTTTGGTTTGTTTGTGTGGGCATATGGGCTTGAACAGCTTAGATTTTCTGCTAGAAGACATGCTCCTCTTATAACAGTAGTCTAAAATCCGATCTACATTTTCACCGAATTAATCCTGCCATTTTCCCCACCCTGTTACCATGACAGCCACCACCACTGCCGGTTTGGATCAGCAGATTCGTTCTCGTCCCTCGGGTATTATCTCCCAGTCGGTGCTGCGACCTAGTTGACGGCATCAGAAATAAACTTTCATAACATACAATGAAAGTAACATTTATCACGGCCACTCATTGTGATCACGACTGTCACTAGCGTTACCTAGGCCCTTACTTTTCCTCCTGCAAAAGACAGCGGCGTCCTATCCGTATCTATCTTCTGCTAGTTCACTAAATTACTATATATCACTGAATGCTGATTGATGATCATTCCAGGGTACTAGGCTTAAATTGATTGGCTGGCTTATTCCATCTGCATTGCTCACGCTGACATTACGACGCTGAACGCTGTATGAGCGTTGCTCGATACTTCGCTAATATACCATTCATTCGTCGTTTTCTTTTTGAGATTGTTATGCCTACAATCGATAGACGTTAGGAGTGTTGTTGAAATTCACACTCGAGCAATACTGCTTTGATCGAGAGCGGCGTCAATAACGCGAAGCTCGACATCAGCTTGAGCTCTTTTCGAGTTTTTCCTGAGCATGCCTGCAACGTTCATGCACACACAAACATGTCATAGACAGACGGGCACGGCGATGTACGTACGCACGGGTGATGTAGTATCAAACAACGCATGAATATGAATAATCTCGTGTAGACATTAAAAAAGTAAGCTATATATTTGCACTGCAGCCAACTAAACTGATCGACGAAACCAATAGATTTATTAGTAAAACGTAGAAAATCTCTAGCTGAGCCGCTACAGCTGCTGGAAGCACGCGATATTATTAACTGACTAACTCTTACCTCTTCCGTTGGAGGGTTTTCCCGAGAAGCTGTGCTGGTGACTATGTCTAGGCAGTTCTGGAGCGGAGACGTCACCCTGTTGCTTAGCGAAATTTATAAATACCTGATCGAGGGTGGTCTGCGTCACGCTGTAATCCTCGAGGAGACATGGTAGGAACTCAATGGCAGTTAAGCTACTGTCGGCCATAAAGGAATCAACCTGTGTTTCGATTCCGGCGGGGCTTGCGCGGGCAGTTTCCAGGTGTCGGAATATATCGCCTAAGGGGACACTTGGATCGATCTGGTACTGCATCTGATTTAAATGGTGTTCTTTTAACAGTGCCTTGCCACCAAGCACGCGTTCCATGTAATTAATTACGGTATTGACGTCGGTGGCAATCTGAAACAAAAATGTACACGAATATAGTACAATATACAGCAAAATACGTTTCGTAAGAAAATCCAATACATGTAAACGAACATCAGTTTTAGCTGGCATGACGTGAGGTTTAGGGAAGTGCTATATGTGTTTATAAACACTTTGGGATACTTGATTCATTTCACCCAGTTATATGATTTATCACACGCCATTTCATTCCGCTGGACCATTGAAACATAACTGGTTGCAGAAAGCTGAGCGCGAATATCCGTATGACCACATATATAATCTATGATCACTCAATCATTAACAAAAAAAAAAAAGCGTAAATTGGCTTTGACTCTCTTCTATCGTGCTACAAGATAAATTAAGCCACATATCCATTGTTTCATAAAGCTTGTATATCTGCTCTAATACTCCGAGTTCAGAGTCAGCCAATTCGATTTGACGCCTGCAAAGTAATGATCCTGTACAGAGCAATTGCGAACTCAGAGGATAGAATCGTATTGCTTTATCCCAGTCAATCCGCTTTGTATTCCAGCGATGATCATGCAGACACGTCAGCTGGGTTTGCATCTGGGTCTACTAAATATCTGCAACTGGACAGGATCATTTATAGAATTAACAGAATTCCTTAAATCCTGGCTGGTGTATTTGATTATTGTTTCAGAAGTAGTTAAGGTGTAAGCTAGCACCGAATATATTAACAAAACGTTTAAAAAGTTCCGTTGTCCTTTTTTGTTACGTTACCTATTACGAACGTTACCTGTTACATCTGCAGTAGCCAACGACAGCCATTTATATTATTTACACATTCTTGATAAATAATTTTAGCTAGGGTATCGCACTCAAAAAAAAGTACATTATTCTAACGATACGTACGGTATTGTTCATACCTTTAAGGTGACGGTGTAGCCAGCCCCGTATTTATTCTTCAGATGCTGTATTGAACCAAGACAGCGGAATTGTCCATTGACCATTATGGCCAGGCGTGTACAAAGAGCCTCGCACTCTTCCATCGAATGCGAAGTCAAAATCACCGATCTTCCGCCTTCTCTTACTATGTCAATGATACAGTCCCAGAGGAATCGACGACTCTTTGGGTCCATACCCGTTGTCGGCTCATCCTGTTTTATAGAAAGGCTTTTACTAAGATGAGTGTTTTCAATGTAAAACAACCGGATCGCAAGTTGTTTACGGTTCATTTTTACTCGAAATATGTAGCCGATAATCAAGGTCTTGAAAAGTTGCTATAAGTTATACCCAATAGCAGGTAGCTGCTTTACCTAATGACAACAGAAATGTCTTCAATCACAAAAAGAAATATATCAATTTTTACATGAGCTTTTTCGTACGTACCAAAAAAACCAAAGGTGGATTGCCGACCAGAGCAATAGCTGTATTTAGCTTTCGTTTATTACCCCCCGAATATGTCCCCGCGCAACGGTGTGCGAACATTCGAAGACCCAACTTGCGTATGCCCCAGTCAGCCACCTGGAAAACAGACAAACGACACAAACAGTATTAAGGCTTTAATATGTTGATTAAGTGCGCTTTAGTCACCCTCCCGATTTTTTAATTGCGTTGCTATTTACACATTCATACACATAGATGGGCATCACTTACTCTGGCAACGTTCTTTTCAGGCACTCCACGAAGACGAGCATAAAATTCGAGATGTTCGTAGCCCGTTAATAGGGGGTCGATCGCATCGAACTGGGGGCAGTACCCTACCTGCTGCCGAGCCATATCAAGTTCAGTCTTCACACTGTAAAAAGGTGGCGCATTTAACACATAGACACTCGGCAACACATAAAAGTAACACGATAGAGTTACATAAGCAATATATACACACTGCACGTACCTGTAATTGCATATGAAAGCGTTGCCGCCTGTGATTGTGGTGTTACCGGTTAGCATTTTGAATGTGGTTGTTTTTCCCGCGCCATTAACACCTAAAAGACCGAAACATTCGCCAGGGTTTACGCCAACGCAAAGATGGTTGACGGCAGCGTGCTGACCCTCCCTGTAACAGCCGATAGCAACAGACCGTTGTTAATAATAAAAAGAAAGCGATTTTTCACGATCCGAAAGGGATCACCAGGGCCGTCTAATATCTCCTGAGAAACTTTGACCGAATCAACTATTCTTAATTGATAAATCTTCTCTACATCGATTAAATGCAATTGTAATACATAATGATAACCAATTTACTGTTCAGAAATTATTAATTATTATTGCTATGATAACACGAATTATTAATAATACAGAAGAATTGTAACAACACCGGTAAACTTTAGTGAGGTTTTCAACTCGAAGAATGCAGTCCTGCGCACATCCCCCGAGAACTCGCTGCCTTTCCATTACCACATCCTCGTCCATCGGCTCCGAAGCATCAAACATTACCCGAATTTGTCTATAATACACGTGACATAAAATTAATACATGTGGAATTCTAATTCAGAAAGCACACCCTGTATGCAGCCTTAACGACTCCCTTCGCACAAAAACCAAGTGTACTTCTTGGATACAACGATTTTATTTTCCAAAGATTCTTGTGTCATCTTATCGCTCAGTTGGAATTAAAACTCTCAAAACAAAGACATCATTCTCTCAGTCAATTTATGTTCAAGTTTAAACTTAGCCCAAATTGGTAATCATTGAACAAATTATACTTTTTTAAAATCTCTATACATTCCAAG